TGATCAATACTTTATGATTCTGATGTATTTTGTTTTTTATTCTCCAGGTTTTGTTAAGGTATCTGGGACTGGTAAGAGTGATCGCAGTAAGTTAATGTTCAGATGATCTCAATTCAGTATTGTCTTTTTTTCAGTATTTATTTTGCTTTGTGAATGTTTTCTCACAGAGCCCGACATGATTTTGCTCCTGATAGTGGCCTTTTATTGTTTTGTTGCACTCATCATCATCCTGTCTGCGAAATACATTAGAGGTAACATGTAGCATCCTAAACGCACAGATCTGTTCTAACAGCAGCCATGAATAAATGACTAATTCAGGTTTCTTCGTCTTTTATAAATCCCTCAGCATGTCCCACAGGAACTGTGAAGAAAAGAAGTAAGACAAGAAAATCAAACAGTAAGACTCTGCACTCACAACCGACCAATCAATGAGTCAAACACCGAGCTATTCGATGAACGAATGTGTTATTTATACATGAAACCCTCATTAGGTACTCTTCTAAGAATGTAATCTGATATAATATATAATGGAAAAATATAACTTGAACCTGACATTGTCTTTTTTTTTTTAAGCTCAAGGTTGCAGATACTTTACCTCAAGCAGGAGAAGATCAGACAAATCAGACAACTGACAGCTGAGAAAAATCAAACAAGCGACAACCCAAAGTTCAAAAATTCAACAGCGAGAAGACTTCATTTTGACCAATAATGTTTTTATGTTTATCTTATTTGTTTTTGTTCAGTTTTGTTGTCCTTGTTTTTAGCTGTATGTCTGTTTCTGTCTCTATTATTTCAGCATAAGAACAACTACTTCTTCTACCATTGCTTGTTAATATGATTGTTTGTATATTTTTATACAGTGATGTTTATTATTTTTTTATTTAAGGAATGATAAATTAAGGATTTTCTGCAAAAAGGTCAATAAAAACCTTTGACAGTGAGGTGAGCTGAATATCTGTATTGCATATCGCTGCTAATTCCCTGCTGATTTACATTATCACTAATAAATCCTCAGGTACAGTATGTAATGGAACGATGAATTCTCCATCCTCTGTCATTGGGGGATTGTGGTTATCCATGTTACGTGCTGCCATGGAGCTCACTCACTGCAACCGTTAAGGCCTAACCAGTGCACCGATCAATGAGTCAAACACCGAGCTAATTCGATGAACGATGTGTTATTTAAATACATGAAACCCAATCCTGGGTATTCTACAGCAATTTAATCGATATGATGTATAGACTGGAAAAATATGAGTTTCAACCTGACACTTGTTTTTGCTGAAAATCCTCTTGCAAGTGTTGATGTTACACGAGCTATATTTTGCCCGTCCCCGTACACACCACGTCAGTCACTTTTTCCCACTGTATTATTCTAGAAGCCTGGTGGCTATCTGAAGCAAGTTTAAGCAAACAATCCTCATGTGCTCCAAACTAACTGTGCTCCAGTATCCATCTCCTGTCTATGTAGTCTAATCACTACATTTAGATTTTGGAACACTCTGTTTCTCTTACTCATTCCATGAATCCAGTAACAGATATTTACAAGCGTGTTAGAAGTGTGAATGGTAACCAAATTTCCAACAGACCATTGGCCTAGGGCAGACTCTAATGCTTGTTGGGTCTGCTACACACTCCTGCGCCGTAGTGCGACGTGCACCTTGAGGTTTGTTTGTGACTGCCAGTAAATCCAGAGAAGAAGAAAAGCCAGGTATTTCCTTCATGAAAGAAGTTAAGTGATTGCTCAAACTTGTTCATTTCTGCAGTTTAATCGGTTTGTGCTCATGTATTGTTGCCCTGAAGCTCAGATTGTCCGATTAGTGGCAGATTATGTGTGCAATGAAAGGTTGTAAGCAGTGTTCAATTCTGACTGCATTCATTAAACTACCTGGACACATGTTCCAGCTAAACCATGCAGCATCCTCCACAGGGTTGGATTAGATTTTCTTTTAATATTGAACCACCAATTCATTTTACATTGTTAAAATGTGCACGTTGTAATATTTAGGGCTATAATAAGCTGACAAGTGTATTTATTTCCAAAAAATAAAAAGCATTCAGTACTGCCACCTAATTATGGTCTGATTGGTAAACAAACCAAAGTTAGCCAGCAAACCATACATTGCTCAATCAGAGCTTTAAAGAATAATGGGAAACACTGAGAAAATTTCTGCAACTATGCCAAGTATAAAAACTTGATTTTAGTTGCAGCTCTGCAGAGAGCTTGACTTGTGCTTACTATCCACTGCATCTAGAGCTGATAAAGAATAACAGTTGTCTGTACTGTATACTTAAAGTGTGCACTCTGGTGCTTTGGTTCTCTGAGCTCCGGCTGCGTTTTGTGACAGTCTCAACTTGTTTTATACAAACTCCTCTGATGCAAGACCGAGCGTGCTTTGTCAGAGAATATATCCTGCTTACACCGTCTTTCTGAAATTAAAATCTTAAATAAAAATCACTATTAAAATTTGCTTGGTTTTCACAGAAATGAAAGAATTAAAATGCTACTTGCGTGAATCTGCAATATTATGAATATAAATGAAGCTCAACTTCTCTCATCTCACTCCTTACTGTAATTCCTTCGCTACAGGGGTTTCCCAACCTGACCCGGACCCCCCACTAGGGGTCGCCAAGGCTCATAAGGATGTCGCAACTTAAAACAGTTGCTAGAAAATAATACCACTTTATTGTGGGTTTAATTTATTTTTAATTATATATGATCAAAATATGTCACCAAGCAGGGGTCCGTCAGTTACCAAATATATATAATTTTTTAAATATTATGTGTCTTTATTGCCATATATTAGGTCAGCATGTCCTATCGCTCCATGTCTGTACTAATCACCGTGCTCGCTCTCTGCTCTCTCTCTCTCTATCTCCTATCCTCTCTCTCTCGCTCATCTCTCTCCTCTCTTCTC